TGCAACTTTGCTAAATTTGTATCAGTTCTAAAAGTTTTGGGGTAGAAATTTTAGGTTTTTTTATATATAAGATCATGAAATCTGAAAATGTACAATTTGACTTCTTCTTTTACAATTTAGATTTCCAATTATTTCTTTCTCTTGCCTAATTGTTCTAGCTAGGACTTCCAGTATTATGTTAAATAAAAGTGGTGAAAATAGGCATTCTTATCTTGTTCCAGATCTAAGAGGAAAAGTTTCAACTCTTGCCCATTCAGTATGATGTTGGCTCTGGGTTTGTCATATATGGCCTTTATTATGTTGAGGTATGTTTCTTCTATACCTAACTTATTCAGAGTTTTTATCCTGAAGGGATGTTGAATTTTATGAAATGTTTTTCTGTATCTATTGAGATGATTGTATGGGTTTTGTAATTCATTCTATTGATGTGATGTATTACCATTTTTGTTTTCCTTCTGTTGAACCATCTTTGCATCCCTAGGATAAATCCCACTTGATCATAATGAATGATATTTTTATTGTGCTGTTAGATTCGGGCTAGTGTTTTTGCATCTATGTTCATCAGCCCATATTTTTCTTTTTTTGTTGAATTCTTTTTGGTTCTGGTATCAGAGTAACTTGAAAGAATTCCTTCCTCTTAAATCTTCTGGAAGAGTTTGAGAAGAATTGGTATGAGTTCTTCTTTAAGTGTTTAGTAGGATTCAGCAGTGAAGTCATCAGGTTCTGGGCTTTTCTTTGATGGAAGATTTATTACAGATTCAATCCTGATTTTCATAATTGATGTGTTCAAGTTTTCTGTTTTTCTTGGTTCAATCTTGATAGGTTGTATGTGTCTAGGAATTTGCCCATTTCTGCTAGGTTTTCTAATTTGTTAACATATAGTTCTTTGTAATAGTCCCTAAAGATTCATTATATTTCTGTGGTACCTCCTTTTTTGTTTCTGATTTTATTTAATTGGGTTCTGTTCTTATTGTTGTTGTGGATAGTCTAGCTAATGGTTTGTCAATTTTATCTTTTCACAAAACCAACTTTCATTCCACTGATATTTTGTGTTGATGTTTTAGTCTCAATTTCATTTGTTTCTGCTCTGATTTTTCTCATTTTTTTCCTTCCACTAATTGTGGGTTTGTTTTGTGCTCGTTTTTTCTAACTCCTTAACATTCATCATTGTTTATTTGAAATCTTCCTATTTATTTGGATGTATGCATTTATTGCTATAAACTTCCTCTTACTACTGCTTTTTTCTGTATCTCATTGGTTTTTGTGGGGTTTTTTTTTTGGGGGGGGGGGTTGAGACAGAGTCTCAGTCTGTTGCCTGGGCTAGAGTGCCATGGCATCAGCCTAGCTCACAGCAACCTTGAACTCCTGGGCTCAAGCAATCCTCTGCCTCAGCCTCCTGAGTAGCTGGGACTACAGGCATGCGCCACCATGCCTGGCTAATTTTTTCTATATATTTTTAGTTGACCAATTACTTTCATTCTATTTTTAATAGATACGGGTCTCGCTCTTGCTCAGACTGGTTTCGAACTCCTGACCTTGAGCGATCCTCCAGCCTCAGCCTTCCAGAGTGCTAGGATTACAGATGTGAGTCACTGTGCCCAGCCTATCCCATTGGTTTTGATATGTTGTGTTTCCATTTTCATTTGTTTTAAGAAATTTTTTAATTTCCTTAATTTCTTCATTGATCCATTGGTTATTCAGGAGCAGGTTGTTGAATTTTCACATATTTATGTAATGTGGGGATTTTTGTTTTTATGTTTTTTGTTTTTTGTTTGGTTGGTTGGTTTGTGTGGTTTTTTGTTGTTTTTGGTGGTGGTGGTGGTGGTAGTGTTTGTTTTTGAGACAGAGTCTTACTCTGTTGCCCAGGTAGAGTATAGTGGCATCATCATAGCTCATTGCAACTTCGAACTCCTGGGCTCACGCAATCCTCCTGCCTCAGCCTCCTGAGTAGCTAGGACTACAGGCATGTGCTATCACACTTGGCTAATTTTTCTGATTTTTATCACTATATTTCTCAGGCTTATTGTTTCCTTTAGATCTAATAATATTTACTTTGTATATATGGGGGCTCCAGTGTTGGGTACATATATGTTTACAATTGTCACATTCTCCTCCTAAATTGATCTCTTTATCATTATATAAGACCTTCTCTGTCTCATTTTACAATTTTTTAAATTATGGTCTGTTTTAACTGGTATAATTTTAACTACTTCTGCTCACTTTGGTTTCTTTTTGCATTGAATATATTTTTTTCATCTCTTCACTTTCAGTCTTTATGTTTGTACACATGAAGTGAGTTTCTTATAGGCAGCTTATGGGTGGTCTGTGTTTTTCTTAATCTATTCAGCCAGTCTTTCTTTTAAATGTGGGATTTAATCCTTCTACATTCAATACTATTATTGATAAGCAAGGACTTACTCCTGTCATTTTGTTAACTGTTTTCTGGTTGCTTTGTATATCCTTGTTCCTTCCTTCCTCTCATTGTTTATCATTGTGATTTGGTAGTTTTCTGTAGTGATAACATTTGATTCATTTCTCTTTCTCCTTTGTGTATCTGCTCTACCAATAAATACTTTTGCATGTTTTCATGATAGTAATTATCATCTTTTCTCTTTTAGCTGCAGGACTCCCTTGAGAATTTCTTGTAGCCAGTCTAGCAGTGATGAATCCCTCAGTTCTTGCTTGTCTAAGAAAGACTTTATTTCTCTCTCACTTCCAAAGGATAACTTTGCTGCATATAGTATTCTTTGTTGCCAATTTTTTTCTTAATTTTAGCACTTTCAACATATCATCCCATTGCCTGCTACACCTTAATGTTTCTGTGAAGAAATCTGCTGTTATTCTAATGGAGAATCCTTTATATATGATTTGTTTCCTTTTTCTTGCTGGTTTTAGAAATCTCTGTTTTTGACTTTTAAAAATTGGTGTATAATATGCCTTGAAAGGATTTTTGGGGTTGAATCTATTTGGGATTTTTTAACTTCCTGGCTCTGGATGTCCATATCTCCTGCCAGACTTGGGAGTTTTTCAGTTATTATTTTATTATATACGTTTCCTATGCCTTTGCCTTCTTTTTCCTTTTGGACTCTGCTAACACAAATATTTGCTCACGTAATGGTGTCTCAAAGGTCTTGTAGGATTTCTTCCTCTCATTCATTTTTATTTCTTTTTTTCCCCCTTGGGTAATTTCAAATGACCTATTCTCAAGTTTGGAGATGCTTTCTTTTCCTTGATCAAATCTACTGTTGAAACTCTCTATTGTGTTTTTATTTCATTCATTTTTATAAATTCTGTCTCTTTGTTGAATTTCTCATTCATTTCCTGAATTATTTTCCTTGATTTTGCTGAAATTGTGTATGTTTCCTTGCATTTCATTGAGTTTCCTTAACATCATTATTTTGGGTTTTTTTTTTCCTTTTATTTCATCATATTATGGAGGTACAAATATTGTTAGGGTTACAAATATTGCCTCTGCCTCCTAACACCATTATTTTGAATTCCTTTTCTAGCAGTTCTCTGATTTTCTTTTGGGGGGTGTCTGTTACTAGAAAGATATTCATTTCCTTTGATGATGTCATATTTCCTTGCCTTTTCATGTTTTTTGTGTCCCTGTGTTGATGTCTGTGCACCTCTTCCAAACTTTCTAGAATGGCTCTCATAGAGGAAAAACTTTCACCTGTGGTGAGGTATTAGTATGCCAGTTAGGAAGGGTACAAAGACTCTATTTCTAAATAGGTGCAGTGCTTTAGTCTTCATACAGCTTCTTCAGCTTCATTAAACATCAGCAATAACTATGTTACTCAGTGAACTAGGTTGTAGAAGTTTATGTCTGCAGCATAGGTCGTTAATGTCCTTAGTACTGAGGGCTTTTGAGGTCCTCCTATTTTGTTTTCTCTGCAATGGGGAGATTTAGCCAAGGGTATCCTTCTTAGTGTCATGTCTGACACAGCCTATAAGTGGCTTCAGGAGTACTGGGTTCTAAGTACAGGTTCTTGGAGAAGCTCTGGGGCTGGAATCCTAAGTTTGGTGTTTTGTGACTTATTTTGGCACTTTAACTTATGCAGGTAGGTTGTTTACAGAGCCAGGATATGTGACTCTAAAGTACCTCTTAGCAGCTTGGCCCTAGGGGCCCAGCTTTAGCTGTGATTCTCCTCCTGGGGGACAAAGCAAAGCACTGGCCCAACTCTGGGTAAAAGAAGGTGCTCTGGAGATTTGGGCCAGAACTGGTTATGACTACAATTCAGGAACCAGTGCCAACAGAGCTTAGTGGCAACTTATGTCCCAGAGGATGAGGCAGCATGTTATAGTGACTCTAGACCCCTCAATGGTGGGACTTGCAGTATCTGACTCTGTGAGGCCAGGTGCAGTGGCAGCAAATTTCTCAGAATGGCAGAGCACAGCTGTCATTTGGCCCTAAGGTAGGGAAGTGTCAGGGAACAGTCCAGCAACAACTCCACTCCTTAGAGAAAAGAGCAGCTCAGAATCTAAGGGGCTAGTCCAGCTCCAGGGAAGCAGGGTACCATAGCTGTTTGGTCTGTAGGGCAGGGTGTCTCAGCTCAACCAGTACTCTGTTTCCCTGGGACACATGGTACAATGTCAGCTCAGCCCTGGGATGCACACTTGCTCATCTTGTAAAGATGTGTGCCAGACACTTTCTAGGCCTTGCAATGATAGAATAATATGTCTGTAAAGAGGATGACTAAAGAAGATTAATGCAGAAATTATTTCCAAAATCTGGACAAGGGTAAGGGAAGCCAGCAAAGGAATTTGAAGCACTTAGGCACTCGCAACAGTGAAATTCCATTACTACCTCTTGGTCAGAAGGAACAAAAGGAGACAAAGGTACCTGAACCTGGGAATAATCATAGCTATGGGAGAGGATCACCCAATAGGAGCTGTGGTGGCCATTAGTAGCAGGGTTGCCCTAACCATCACCAAATTGTAGGATAGCAGTAAAAGAGCAGGGGAAATAAAAAACCCTACCTTTCTCCCCCTCCTACCTGCTAATCTCTTGTTGGTCCCTCTCATGGGCTGAACCTAACCAGAAGCCAGAGTGATAGGAACCTGGTTAAAATAGTCCATAGAAGTCAGCCTTCTGGGCCACAGCATAGGGTAGAGCATGATGATGTGATCTGGAGAGAATAAACAAAATAAACAGAAAATAAAGCACATATTTTCCTTTGTGGGACTTACATTCTAGAATATGTAATGCACTTAACACTATACATAGCATAGATTTTGAGTTCTATAAACATTAGTTATTGGTAGTTCTATAAACATTAGTTCTATAAACATTAGTTATTGGTAGTTCTATAAACATTGTTATTATTTGTAACAATAATACTGTGGAGAAAAGATTTTTAAGGCTTTCCAAATAAATAAATTTCCAGTTTTACTTTGATTATACTTTCAGTGGTGGGTATTTTTTCTTAACTATCCCCTAAGGGGTGTGTGTGGTTATTTTATTGTATTTTATTTTACTTTGGCATTAAAAAAATACATAACATTAAATGTACCATCTTAGCCATTTTTAAGCAAACAGTTCAGTAGTGGTAAGTATATTTACATAGTACCAACTTAAGGTTATAAGGTACAGTTGTGCGTCACTTAACAATGGGTATACATTCTGAGAAATGTGTCTTTAGGTGATTTTGTCATTGTGCGAACAACAGAGTGTAGTTACACAAACCTAGAGGGTATAGCCTATTACACCTAGGCTACAAACATGTTCAGCGTGTCACTGGACTGAATTAACGTAGGCAGTTCTAAAACAATGGTAAGTATTTACTTAAACGTATCTAAACAATAAAAGTACATAACGGTGTTATAATCTTATGGGACTACCATGGTATTTGCAGTCTGGCATTAACCAAGATGTCATTATGCAGCATGTGATTATACTTAAGAAGCAGACATCTTTGGAAAAGTATCTTTTTTTAAATTGGGGAATTAATATTGTCTCAGGATTTTGCTTTGGGGGAGGATTTGAAGCATTCCTTTTCCCAACTCTGACCTAAATCATGGTCCCTGAGAAGTGACTCTCCTGAGACCAGATCAAATCTACCACATGAATCTTATAGAAATATGTTTTTCCTATGCTGCAATAAGTTAGCAGCATATACCATATACTCTCTCTTATACCATCCACATGAAAGTTCAGGTAATGAAAATCTTGTTTTTCATTTTTGAAAAAAATATTTAACCCAGATCATTACAGACACTGGAATTATTTTGAAATTATTTAATTACATTTTCTAGACTTACTGATAGGTGAGGTAATATGTTTTAGAAAGGTTTTCAAGATCAATAATTAAAATGATATTTCCAAGGTCGGGCACAGTGGCTCAAACCTGCACTCTGGGAGGCTGAGGCAGGAGGAATACTTGAGATCAGGAGCTCAAGAATATCCTGAGCAAGAGTGATTCCCCCTCTACAAAATATAGAAAAAAATAGCCAGACATGATGGTGCCCACCTGTAGTCCCATCTTCTTGGGAGGCTGAGGCAGGAGGATCAGATGGGCCCAGAAGTTGGAAGTTGCAGTGAGCTATGATGATGCCACTGCATTCTAGCCTGGGCAAAAGAGCAAGACCCTATCTCTAAAGAACAAAACAAAACAAAAGATATTTCTGGCTTGTCTTTATTTAACCAAAAGGTTCATGTAATAAATCTGTATTTCTCAAAATCAGAACTTGAATAAATTACGAAGGTGCTAGTTTTTCATAATTGTCATTCATACTATCATATGGCCTAGCATTCTTTTCTTACAGACTTCAAATCACTTTACATATATTGGGAATATGTACATTATTTAAGTGAGAGGCAATAGTGGCAAATGTTAAGTGGCAGTTCTTGAAAAGGAAAACGGGCTACCAAGAAAGACATCTAATAGTCATTACCTTAAAGTATACATAAAATCAGCCTAAATCTCTTTGGTATAAGTGTACCTGTTTGTGGGTAGCTTTTATCACATGGACCCAAAATGAATAAAACTGTAAAACTTTCTTTTATGGATTATTTCTAAAAAATATTACATCCCAGCAAAGTAAATCAACTGTCTTTTTCATGTCTATTTCCAGCCAACTCAGACAGTAATGCCAGGACAAGTCATGCGGGTTACAACAGGTGCTCCAATCCCCTGCGGTGCTGATGCAGTAGTACAAGTGGAAGACACTGAACTCATCAGGGAATCAGATGATGTACGTCATCACCAGGTCTTACCGCACCATTTTTCCTACAGCAGTATCACATCACACCCATTTTCTGCAATGTTTATGAGAATAACCCAGGTTTTTTTGTTATGTTAGGTTCTTACATTGTATGAGTTTCCAGTAAATAAGAAATTACCTTCAGCTTGAAAATATTTTGTTATAGGAGGGGTTTTTATGATGTAACTGTTACTATAGCAGAATTGAACCATATTTGACCCAAGAAATTTCACATGCAAACAAGGAAAGAAACTCAAGATAGAAGAGCAGAGATATTAACAGTGACATACATTCTAGCTGAGAAATTTGTCATTGAGACTAGCTTCTGATAAAATGTGAAGGGGTTCATGAAATCAAAAATTAATAGAGAAAAATTTAACAAACAAAGAAGACATGGGCAAGTTCCTAAATATTATACTAAGCCAAGTATTTGAACCAAATGATCCTTTCACCTCTGGTCTTCTACATTTCCAAGAAAGGCCATGCCACAAAATGACAGCCTGGAAATATTACATTTATATACATTTCCCCTCCATTTATTTTATAAAATAAAAGACTTTGAGAACTTTGGGGGCCAAGCAGGCCTTTAGGTCACTGAAACTAGTGGCAACTTTTGAAATCAGAGTATCAACCACTAATAAAAGTAGAGTAGATTCAGCTGAAGTTTAATGACTGGCTATCTTACTTGTTTTGTAAAGAAGTTTAAGATATTTTACATTTTAAAAGCTGAGGTTAAAAATAAACATATATTCTCCTGGGCAGGGTAGGTAGTGAAATCTGGCCGTGCTGAGAGACAGCCAATTTTCTTGATCTGGAGATTTTCTTTGTAATCAGCTAATTACTTGTAGGGCTTATAAAATTCAACTCTGCAAACAGATCACCTTGTCTGCTGTTAAAACTGTCCAAGTAGATTTATTGGCATCAGGGAAGCCAGGAGAGCATTGAAATCCAGAACACATACCTCCACAGACTCTGCCAGATGACAAGACACAGTTCCAATGTCACAATATTATTCACAGCCCATAAATGTAAAATTGATGATCACCATTAATTTACAGAATCTACTACCAGGTAAACTATAAGTCCTTCACTGAAATTTCTGCAGGTATTTGGGAACCTTGGCATGGTTTTAAACCCATAATTCACGGGAACAGAATAGAGATGTTACCTTCATGCATAGTTTATCTATTAGGGTAGCCGTGTGTGTGTGTGTGTGTGTGTGTGTGTGTGTGTATTCCTTAAGAATGCTACTTACAAAGTAAGATTCAATATTTGAATTGTTACATTTTTAAAGCATGAAAATTGGAGAAAATATTTATTTATTGGCACCAAACATTCTAATTTTTCAGGAACCTGTGTTAGAAATTCATAGTGTTTCAAAGGGTTTAACTAAATGGTTTTCTGTTTCCCTATATTTATGCATATAATCTGGTCCTATCTGATGATAAAGCATCTGAATAGTTCAATTCTACTGATCAGAAGTTCTGTTAAATTGTCTGGTTTGAAATTACATAACCTGCTCTTATTATAGGGCACTGAAGAACTTGAAGTTCGAATTCTGGTGCAAGCTCGGCCAGGCCAAGATATCAGGCAAGTTCAGAACATATAGAATTTAAAGACAACTTTTGTTTCTACATGATCATGGACTTAGGAGAGCATGGATATTATAAATCTACAGCTATGTCAATTAACCATTAGCTTTCAGGGATTTACCAGGAATAAATTTTCTGAATTCTGTATCACATATCTGCCCGCCTATTTTTTAATGAAGATAGTAAAGGCAAGTGAAATAGTCAAAAGCAATGTGAAAGAGGTAAAGTCATGAGCCTACATAATCCACAGTTAATTCTAATCCTAGATAATGTGGATTTACCCAACCCCACCCCTAGATAATCCAGAATTTGGTATTAACTAAGATAACCCCAGAAGTAGATATCTATACAATTAGTTTATCAGCTAATTGCTTATCAGCTAATAGAGGATAGCACATCCTATATTGACTACCAACAATAATGAAATAATATGCTATTCCTTATGTACAAAGATGAGGCTATTATCCTACCACCAATAGTTTGTGTACCTTATATTATTTTTCTTACAATGGAATATGTTTACTCTGATTCCATTAATGCTAATTTGCTCAACATCCCTTTGTAACAAAACTACACTTCTTCCATCCTATGGCAGCATGCCTTCTCTGTGGCCACAGATCAGAACCATCCTAAGTGGTCCAAATGGAAATTACATCTATGACTGTAGTCTCATTAGCATTATTCTCCTTGCTACAAAGCTAACCAGCTATGGATCTCTTATCATTAATGCCACTGGATATTTTCATACAAATTCTTGCCTTATATCAAAATTTATAATTGATATTTTAACTGTAATATAGTGCAAAGCAATTTGTAAAATAATTTTCAAATATGAAGCAATATATTCCTGTTTAGCAGTAATAGATATAAATCCTATTTTTGTCTTCTATTGTGCAATTTAACTTTTAAAATTAAAACATAGAGTTTTGAGAATCTCATTTCGTTATTTTATTAGTGCCTCATTCTTGACTTTTTTCTCCTGAGTGTTCTCCTTCTTTGACACTACATTTTCCCTCTGAGTTGAGAAAATGTTATTCTTATTCATACTGCTTATGGTTCTGCTTTGATTTTCAGACCCATCGGCCATGACATTAAAAGAGGGGAATGCGTTTTGGCCAAAGGAACCCACATGGGCCCCTCAGAGATTGGTCTTCTGGCAACTGTAGGCGTCACAGAGGTTGAAGTTAATAAGTTTCCAGTGGTTGCAGTCATGTCAACAGGGAATGAGGTAAAAAAAAAAAAAAAAAAAAAGGAGGGTGGGGCAGAGATAGGGGTGCTTAAGATAAAGGTATTTCTGACATCTGCTCTATTTGTGAAAAAAACATTGTAGATTATCAGTCTTACCACTGGGTCCATGTTCTTGTAATAGGAAAGTGATAAGTTGACCTTATGACAGTTCAAGTTCAGAAGATGAGAAGAAGGAAGAACTAGAAATTAAGAAATGTTCTCTTCCATTTATTAGAATAAAATATTACAACCAATGGCCTTTCTGCACACTCAGTGCACATAAACAAAGAATGTTAGTTGCTGGCTACAGATATTAAACTGTGCAAACTCAGTACTTACTCTAGGACAAGGAATTGTGCCCATTCTGCTACTGAAATGATGGGCCACCTCTGTGTGAAAAATAAATTAATGGATCACAATACCATGCCTAGTGCTTCTTGTGAAAAGTTCCATGTGATGTTTAATCACCAGGAGGAGTTTGATAATCAGGGGTTTTTTAATTTCTCTAAAGATAGCATCTCTAGTGAAATGCTATTCAGAATGGGTCAAAATGTCATTTTGGGCCTGATTTAGAGAGGGAAATGTAGTCAATCTCTTTCTGAGAATTCTTCAAATTTCCTGTTTGCTTAGGTTGTGCAAAACTTTAATCAGAGGCTCTAAAATCAAACTAGGAATATTGAAAAGTGAATCTGCTGGAAACTCAAAGCCTTATAGCAAAAGCAGAAACTGTTGAGATTTTTTAAAATAATTCCTTTGACCTTCCTATTAAAGAAAAGCTTGACTGGACTTTTTAAAAAATTTCTAACTGTGTTCTAAAAATAAGACCTTCATTAACATTATTTTTAATTTTTTGAAGTCTTGGAAATGAAAATTTTCAGGAATCTCTCTATAACCCCTTATAGTTCTTTTGGCTAGAGCAAAAGAAAAGAATAGAATGTTTTATTTTGCTAATGGAGAGCTAAATCAACATTTCAGATTTGCTTACTTCCCATTGTAAGCGTACTGGTCATTCCATAAAACTACTGACCCAAAACAAACATTCTTTTCAATTTGATCTAAATGGCGATGATTTTATTAATAATATCCCAATATAGGACCAACTGATACTATATTTAGTATCAGAAAGAAATTTTCGTTAAACTGGTTAATTGAATGAACCATTCTTATTTCTGATTCGCTTGTATGTTTTGTGCATCCAAGTGAGTTTGTGGAGTTTGGAAAAACTAAATAGAATTAGCAAACTTGGATGGGCGCAATGGCTCATACTTACAATCCTAGCACTCAAGGCCAGAGGATTGCTTGAGGCCACTAGTTCAAGACCAGCCTGGGCAACATAATGAGACCCCATCTCTACAAAAAATAAGAAAAATTAGCTGGGTGTGGTAACCCACGCCGTACTCCCAGCTACTCTGGAAGCTGAGGAAGGAGGAACACTGGTTTCATATAGCTTGATATTCTTCCCCTTCTCCCATCCAAAATTACCTATTGTTATGGCTCTCTATGACCATATAATTTAGTTTTGTTCAACACATGTTTATTGGCCACCTCTCCCTGGTTCTAAACAGGAACCTAGTGATAAAAAAGATTAATAAAGCATAGTATCTCTCCTGAAGGCTTGAGATCCTCAGATACCAAGAAAACAATAGCAAAAAAAAAAAAAAAAAAAATTCATTTATTTTTCAGAGAGGTCAAAAGAAATTACACTTATCTATTAATATGGCAAAGCCAAATGTTAGCCAGTCATAGTACAAGCTTCCCTTAAGTATTGGTTCTGATTTCCCCTTGGTATGTATGATTTCACATATTCCACTTCTTGAATTCAATGTGATATATTGGTAAGCAGGACAATTGCCTTAGGCAACCAAAAGAATGTCATATAAGATGTCTGTGTATACTATTTAAAACCTGCTCAGTATTTGTTTGAGCTTTTGAAAGATGGTAGAATTATTTTAAAATTGAGGACATAGGGTTATCAACTTTAATACAGAATAGCTGTATTGAGATAACATTGGTTGATCTCAAAAAAAAAAAACCTATGCATATTACAATTTAGATAATACCATAAAGTGATTATGTGATTGTGGGCACACATTTCCCAACCTCATGCATTTGTTCAATAAATATATATTCAGCACCTATTACATGCTAGAAGGCCCACCAGAGGGTTCTCTTAATTAAACATTTGGACTCACAAGATGTGAACATACCATACCTTGGACCAGTTTACTTAAAAAGATATTGAACAGAAAACTCAGCATCCAGCAGGACAGCATGAGGTTTTCTTCTTTAGTGGATCTAGTCCTCCTAATAGTCCACACAGCTGTCCATAAGCTGTTCCATTTCTTCAAGTGACACCTCACATGCAAGAGAATAAGACTTATACTAGGAGAGTTGGGGAGCCACCCTGACTTAGAAACCCCATATCCTATAAAAGAATTAATATTTCTTATAACAATCTTAGACAGCTTCCAAAGTCCCCACAAAGTAAACACCTAGTTATAATTGCCAACACACTTATGGAAGCCCAAAGCTGTGGCTTCCCATTAGATATTTATAGATCATTTATAGTCCCTCCCAGTCTACATGCAAGTTACCAAGCAGAGATAATTTTTATCATAAGAAATGTTGCTTAGTAACAAGTTCACATTTCATCTTTTTCAAATTTCCAGGAGAACAGAGCTAGAAAGTTAACCTTAGGCTAAGAGGATATATTATCTGTAGAAAATTAGAAAACAATAACAAAAGTGACTAAAAGTCAGTCTTTTTATTTCACCATGTACTGACAATTCTAAACAATATCAGTGAACATAAAATATTCCTCTTTGCTGGGGCAAACCACTCCTACCACCCCTTCTCACTAAGTATGCTACTGATGCCAGGCACTGTTCTGATATTGGGAATATAGCAGCAAGCAAGACAGACAAATTCCCTGCTCTTATAGAATTTATATTCTAATGGGGAGATAGTCAGTAAACAAATGGTGATAAATGATATTTTAAAAAGGTAAAATGATAAAGAGTAGCAGAAGAGGTCTATTCCAGATTATATCTGTTGTAACTTGCTCCACATTAGCCCTTATGCTCTCCCCTATACCAATAAGGCTGGAGGCCTGAAAACTGGATTTCCCAGACTCTCATCAGCTGTGGAATACAACAATTAGGTTTTCCCATTGGGATATATTCATATTACATTAGAAGATAGAAAATGAAAGATAGGAACAATATAGCTGACTAGCTATAGGTAGTATGTGCCTCCACAAAGAGGAACCAGAATAATAAGCAGATACTCACATTTTGAACATATCATCTAGGAGAGAATGCTAGGATTCACCAGAGAAGTGATGAGAAGCACCAAAAGTAACTAAGGAGAGGGTTCAAGACAGCTTGCCTAGCCAAAGACTGGATGAGAGCCAGGAGAGGCTCCTGGATTTGGGGAGACAGTAAGAGAAAAAATCCCAGGGCTTCAAACTCTGAAACTGGCTTTTACAATATTGCTATGAGAGAACTCTATAACTCACACAAGCCTTGAGCCTAACATAGGGCACTGCCTAGAGATTGCACAGAGGTGTTGCTCCAGAAAGGGAATGTACACAGAATCCACAGGCATTCCGAACACCTCTAGATAGGTGCCATTGTGAAAGCCTAGATACTGGGGATCTACAGAGATGGCTGGTACTGCTGCACTGCTCTGAGGAGGAAGATGGGAGACTGTGGAATCCCATATAACCCTGGGAAGTTCCCCATCCTCCTGATGCAGGCTGCTGCAGAGACTGAAATGTGAGCAGATCGCACTCCCCACAGCTTCTTTCCCAGGCTGCTTGCCTGTAAAGGGCTGTACTCTCTCTGGTCATGGGCCCAAGGTGCCATTTTGAGAGTTTAATGCTGGGCTATACCCCATCCTTAGGCCAAGTTCAGGCTGACACAGTTACAGCCACTACCTGGCCCAGAAAGGGACAGGAAATCTGTTTCATTTTCTTGTAGGCATACCTAAGACAATACCTAACACCCTGCAACTGGCCCCTTTGAAACTGAGACACAAATGGACTGCATTCCCCACACCTTCTTGCCCAAACTGTTTGCCTGAGTGGGGCCCCATCCTTTCTGGTCACAGGCCCACAACCGATACCATTTCGAGAGTTTAACCCTGGGCTGCACTCTGCCCTCAGGCCGAGTTTTTTCTGCCTTCTTTTTTATTGTCAGTATTAATTAATACTATATTGTTTTATTAATTTTGTTGTATATATTCATGGGGTACAAATACAATTTTGCTACATCGATATATTGCATTGTGGTAAGGTCAGGGCCTTCAGTGCATCCATCACTGGAGGAACATACCTTGAACCCACCAAACAACCTCCCATCATCAACCCCTCTCTAACTTCTCCACCTCTCCAAGTCTCCATTATGCATAGTTCCTCACTCTGCTTCCATGTGTACACATTATTTAGCTCTCGCATATAAGTTAGAAAATGCAGTATTTGTCTTTCTGTGCCTGAGTTGTTTCACTTAAAATAATGGCCTCCAGTTCCATCCATGTTGCTGCAAAGGACATGATTTCATTCTGTTTTGTAGCTGAATAGTGTTTAGTTTGGGGAGGTAAATACTAATGTATCCAGTTTTAATATGAAGACATTAGATTATAGTAACAGTTAATGTATAGGAAAACTAGAAAATACAAGTAAGCATTCATTCATTTACTCCATATAATTGGAGTTCGTTCTATGTGCCAAGTATCATTTTAGTTGCTGGGAATGCAATAGTGAACAAAAAAGACAACAATCCCTATCTCCCTAAAGCCTATATTCTAGTGGAATGCAAAAAAATGAAATCACTGCTAACACTTTGCTATACAGTCATCCAGAATTATTTCTATGCTCATAAATATTTATTTATAAAAATAAATACTATTTTATTATCTGCTTTTTTCACATAAATAGCATATCACAAATATTTTTCATTGTCAGTAATATATATCTGTAATCCACCTTTGATAGCTGCATAGCAATTATATGGTTTTTCATAATTAATTTTTCAGTTCTCTATTGGTAGACATTTAATTTTTTTACCATTTTTCACCACTAAAATAGTCAGTGATATGATGAACATTCATAGTTATTTGCATGTTTCATTATTTATTTTTTATTTTTTTATTTTTTTTGAGACAGAGTCCCACTTTATTGCCCAGGCTAGAGTGAGTGCCGTGACATCAGCCTGGCTCACAGCAACCTCAAACTCCTGGGCTCAAGCGATCCTGCTGCCTCAGCCTCCCGAGTAGCTGGGACTACAGGCATGCGCCACCATGCCCGGCTAATTTTTTCTATATATATTAGTTGGCCAATTAATTTCTTTCTATTTATAGTAGAGACGGGGTCTCACTCTTGCTCAGGCTGGTTTTGAACTCCTGACCTCGAGCAATCCGCCCACCTCAGCCTCCCAAAGTGCTAGGATTATAGGTGTGAGCCACCGCGCCCGGCTTCATTATTTTATTAAATTCAAAGAACTGCTAGGTCAAAGGGTATGCCTTACTTATTTTAAGATTGTGTTACAGCCAAGTGTGGTGGTGTCTCAGGGCTATAATCCCAGCACTCTGGGAGGCCGAGGCAGGAGGATCACGTAAGCCTAGTAGTTCGAAGATGAAGTGAGCTGTGATCATGCCACTGCACTCCAGCCTCGGCAACAAAGCAAAACCCCATCTCTTAAAAAAAAAAAAAAGATTATGTATTGCCTAATTGCCTCCAGAAATATTATACTGAGTTACCTTCCCTTAAATATTGAAAAGTGCTATTTTTCTATACCCTCATCAATACTGGGTGTTATTGGTTTTTAATCTTTGTATCAGTAGACCAAGAATGATGGCCTACTTTTAGTTCTTATCCTCATTCCTTAATTCAGTCATTCAAATTTGTTGATATTTAATACATCTCAGGCCATTATCATATGCCATTTACCCAGACTTTGTATCTATGGTCATCTCTTCTCATTAAAATCCAGTCAATTTAAAATCCTATCAATCTTTCAAACCCAGTTTAGACATTTCTTCCTACATGAGGCCCTCCAATAACACATTCATCACATTTTTCTCTCCCTCTTTTAAACCCTATACTAAGCATTACTTGGATCAGTCATGCTGCATTTATCATATACTGCCTTGTGCTGTCATCATATGTATATCTTTTTAAAATTACTTTTTGTTATCATTAAATATTTTGAAAATAGAGAAAAGGGGAAAAGTCATACATAATCTCACCATGCTTTAACTCAAACATAATAACACTTGATTTCTTTCCATTTTTTCACCTATTGTTATATGTTTATAATGTCTTTTCAAACACTATTTTATTAGCTGCCTAGTATTCTATTATGTGGGCATGTGTATTTGTCTTTCCTTTATGTGCATCTTCATACTCATTGAAGAACAACACATTGTAGATTTTTTTTAAAAAGCATCAAAAGAGTCTGGTTGCCCTGTTGCTATGTTTTTTAAAAAGAGAATTGATGGGGTGGGTGGAGGGAGGAGTCTCTCCGGTCAGGCTTCTTATATCTTTTTTTATCCAGCTACTGGTACTTATTCCTACCCCCATCCTCATTCTACTACTTCAAATTCTGTTGTTTTTTCACTCCCATTCTCCCTCCATCTTTCAAACCTACTCTTAACTCTCCATTTTTTTCTTCCCAATGCTCAAAGAACTGATAGGTGCTCTAACTAGAGTGTACTCTTTTCCCACTTTGAGGCCACCACACTGTGTGGTATGTTTTCTGGTGATTAAGCAACCAGTGATACAGCAGAATAAGTTTCTACTAATTATTAACAGCCCTAATTTAGAGCTGTAAATATAGCACATTTGTGGCAGCTATTCCATAAGTCTATATTTATCTATCAATATCTAGCTATCCATCATCTACATATCTTTATATATCTATAGTTTATTAACTGTATATTATGTCTATATCTATCTATATTGATAGATTCCAGATATTCCAAAACTGAAAAGCTGGCATTTTATTTAATCTTTAAAGTAATTGTATAAATTCTATTTATGACAATAACCTCAGGTATGGAATTTAAATTTTATATTGAATTAATGTTTTATATTATATTTTATTTAATTTATCTCATAATAAGATAGAATAGTTTCAATTAATCCATGCTTTGATTTCTTATTTCTTTTATTATAAGGGTATTTCAGGATGGTCATAAAAGGATATTTTAGTCACTTGTGGTAAATAATAATAGCATGTATTTATGTAGTGCCTCTCTTCTAGGGATTTAACAGTACCTAATTAATATTATGTCATTAATCTTTACTACACCCCTCTGAGGTATGTATCTGGCAGATGTTATTATGCTTCTTCATAATGACAGTAATAAATGTTCTATAATATACTGCAGAAGTAAACATATGTGCTGACTACTGGGTTTGCAGACGAGAGAATCAAGGTATATTAGGTGTCAAGATGCTAACATGAGGCAACAAGCTTCCAGCTCCAGGTATAGCCCAAAATCTTGCCTCTTAAAACTCCTTGTCTGTTTCCCACTATTTTCCCTTAAAGACAATTGAGAAGATATTTTCCTGCTTTGTTTTTAAGCGTAAGAGCTGGACTCTGGGCTTAATATTTTATAAACATTTAGAGATTATCTCTCATCTGTATAGCACAAGTAATATAAGAAATTTTAAAATAATAGAAAAAACTTAGACTGCAGAAGCTCATAATCTAGTAGATAAATTGTATATTATAATGTAATATCTAGAACAACCACTAAAAAAAGTTTTTAAAAGATACATTCAAAAACACCATAGATAAATCAAAATGGAATTCTAAAAAAAAGTTCAAGTAATCCACAGGAAGGCAAGAAAAACAAAACAGAAACAAAAAAAGAGGGAACAAACAGAAAATGAAAAATAGCAGGCATAAGCCCTAACTTATCAATAATTACATTAAATATAAATGGCCTACTTTATTTGTAATAGACTAAAACTTGAAACAGCAATAAAAAGGCACAAACTATTTCTACATGCAGCCATCTAGATGGATCTCAAGGGCATTATGCTGAGTGAAAAAAAGGCCAATCTCAAAAGATCACATACAGTTTGATTTTATTTTTATAACATTCCCAAATGATAAAATCATATTAGTGGTTCCCATGAGGTAGGGATGATGATAGGGAAGGGGGATCATGTCTATAAAGGGTTAACACGAGAGCTATCTTTGTGGCAACTGAATAGTTGGTATCTTGATTGAGGTAGAAGTTACACAAATCAACACATGTGGTAAAATGACAAAGAATTATATGCATTACATTATACCAATGTTAGTTTCTGGTTTTGATATTATAGTTACATAAAATGTTACCACTGGAGAAAACTGGATAAATGGTATGGAGAACCTCTATGTATGATTTTTACAACTTTCTATAAGTCTATAATTATTTTAAAATAAAAAGGTTTTAAAATTAAAAGGTTTTAAAAGAAATATACATATATTAAAATTAGAGAAAAAAGTAATCGTTTATTAGTATTTGGTGGATACAAAGTTCTAGAAAAATACAGCTGCATGGGATAGAATTTTTTTTTTTTTTTTTTTGGAGACGGAGTCTCACTCTGCCCGGGCTAGAGTGCCGTAGCGTCAGCCTAGCTCATAGCAACCTCAAACTCCTAGGCTCAGGCAATCCTCCTGCCTCAGCCTCCCGAGTAGCTGGGACTACAGGCATGCGCCACCCTGCCCGGCTATATTTTCTATATATTTTTAGTCAGCCAATTAATTTCTTTCTATTTTT